AGGAATTTACCATTTCCTCTGCTGTATCTTGGCCCACCATCTCCAAGGAGAGATTCACACAGAAAACCTCCCACAATGCTTTCACAGGCACAGATAACAATATCCCCAGAGGGAATTTCACGGCCACAAGGAAACATTTCTCAGAATGACCGCATTCAATATGGTTACCTGTGGTTTTGTTTTGTTTTTTTTCAATCCTGTTTCCAAATGGGACACTAAACTACAAGATGCGCCCGGGAACTGACTTTCATAAGTCTCTAAAAAAAGGTTGGGTAGTTTGGGGCTCAGGGTGTGCTGCAAGAATTGCCAGTAAAAGAGAGAGAAATGTAATTTACCTGCTGAAAATGCCAAAAAGGCTTCCGGCTTCACAAACTCTCCCTTTTCATTCAGGAAGTTGGAGGGGGTGAACTCGTCTGGGAACTTCCACTGAGATTTATCACGATGGGCAGAGTGGAGATTGACAAAAACCATGGTGTTCTGCACGAGCCAAGACAAGGAGTTCAGGTGGAAGAAGGCATTTGTGGTCAAACCTGGCTCAGGATGCTACTGACTCAGCTTTCAGATAGACCCCACTGACGTGCCATTCATATTCAAATATTTTCTATTTTTCATAGTATACAAATTAAAAGACGAAAGGAAAAAAAGTTACAGTGAAAGTATGAGAGACTGAAGAATTGTGAAAGGAAAAAAAAGGAGATGAAAAAACAGAGAAAAGATACAAACATATATGGACATTTGACGAAGCGACTTCCAACTTCTTTTGCAAAGGATATATACAAAGAACCTTTCATACAACCCTTGTTTAACTTTATATTATAGCTTCTACCTTTCTCGATAGTCTGTAGTTATAAGTAATCATCAAAGCCATATGTCAGAATTGGACTATGTTCAGTTTCAAGCCAAAAGTCAATGAATGGCTTCCAGTCTTTCTTACATTTTATCTATGTTTTTTCTTCTATACTCGCCCTCAGTTTCGCCACTCCCGCTAATTCCAGAAGCTTGACTAACCACTCCCCAACTGTCGGTACTGCCTGGTCTTTGCAATGTTGAGCCAGAAGCAGTCGTGTGGCCGTTGTCGTATAGAGAAGTAACCTACCATGTGTTTTTTCTAAGCATGTGTTCATCATCCCTAACAAAAAGATTTCCAATCTCAGCTGAATGTGCATTTTCAAAATTTTCCAAATAGCTATACGTATATCCATCCAGTATTTTTTAACTTTTTTAGAGGAGCACCTTCCTGTCTTTTACATTTCCAGCAGGCATTCAATATGCCTTTATACATTTTAGAGACTTTCTCTGGGGTCAAATACCAGTTATACATCATCTTATAGAAATTTTCTTTAAGATTATAACATACTGTAAATGTAAGACCCTTGAACTACATATTTCCCCATGGTTCAATCTGGATGTTATATTGGAAAATTTAGGACCTTTGAACAACATATTTTCTCATTGTTCAATTTCCAATTACCAACTATAAATCTTTCCAATAGTTGTATATATAGACACCAATGGCACTTGAAGCCTTGTGGGGTCAAATCTTCTCTAGTTTTTGATCTAATATCCGCTTGATGCTATTCCAACAAATCCTTCTATCTTATCCAATGATAATTACCCACCATCTCTTTTCTGTGATAAGCTTCTTGTGGAGATAACCACAGAGGTACCTTGGGACATATTCTGGATTTCTATATATTCAAAATTCTTAGGATGGCAAACCGAATATAAGATTTCTAAAGTTCTTTTAAGTTTAATCATCTTGTGTCTCTTAGTGTTAACCATTCTTTTGCCTAAACTAAGCAAGATGTTGCAAAATATCATTTTAAATTCGGTAGGTCTAAACCTCCCCTCTCTTTTGCATCACACAGATTTTCATATTTTGTTCTGATACCACATACAGTTTGTATTTGGTAAAGTAATACCTAAATCTTTCACTTTTTTATCTATCTTACAACCAGTTTTAATCATCAGTTCTGTTTGGTCTTGCAACCCCATATTTTTTGTTAACATTTTTGTTTTATGTTCGTTAATTCTGAAACCTACCAATGAGCCATATTCCTTTAATTTATTCATTAATATCTCTACCCCTTTCAGCGGTTCTTGTATCATCAGTACCACCTCATCAGCAAATGCTCATATTTAGAGATCTCACTTTTTACCTCAATTCCTTTTATCCCATCCTCTTTTCTTACATCCAAAGGGCATCCTTTGTCTCATTCCTTTTTGAATGTCACATGGTGGTGGTAAGTCACCATTCACTATAATTCTTGCTTTTGTGGTCTATATATTGACCCCACCCTTTTGTAAAATTATCCCCGAATTTCATACTTTCTAAAACTTTAAATAGCAAGGACCAATTAAGATTATCAGATGCTTTTTCCAGGTCTAAGAAAATTAATGCGGCCTGCTTTTCGTTATGTTGTTGCAGATATTCAATGATATTCAAGACTATTCTAAGATTATCTTCCAGCTGTCTTTTCAGTAAAAACCCACTTTGGTCTAAGTGAATAAAATCCTGTAAAACTGTTTTCAACCTATTGGCCAAAATAGTGGTAAATATTTTATAATCACTATTCAGTAGTGATATTGGTCTATAGTTTGTAGTTGAACTTAAACTGTAAGTTTAGGAGTTATGGAGCAAGTAGGGCTGAATTCAGGGTTAGGAAAAAGAGGGGGAGGAACCAAGGCAGGAGATGTGGTCAGATGGTCCACCATGAGCTATCATCCACCGTTCATAAGGAAGACTTCCTCAGATTTCAGAAATTGGGCTTGTTAAATGATCTATAGAGAATGACACTAACCCCAACCCCCCAAAAAACTATGCATTTTACTAAAGTGCCTCCTTTCCATATCAAATGTCAGGATTTCTCTCAGTTTCTTGCGCTTTCTCACTCTCTACACACACACACACACACACACACATACAGGCAGAGATCTCATGTTGGACAGCTACAGATTGCCTGGAGAATTACCAGCACTTCATGGCTCACATTCAAAGGTTTCTGCTTTTACCTTGGGAACTTGGTATCCAAAAAGCTGCACATCCTTAATGGATTTATGAGCTACTCCAAGAGGAACAATACTTGTAATGCGTTGGATTTCGTGAATGACGGCATTTGTGTAGGGCAACCTTACTCGATCTTCATACTTCAGGCTTGCATTGTTTCCCAGAACAGCGTCTATTTCCTTCTGGCATTTCTCTGAGGAGAAAATAGCTCAATTACCTTCTGGAAAACATTTCACTGGTGTCAGGTAGACATTGGATTGCTTCCCAGCTGGGCGCACAGCTTTCTGAATTTCCAGCCATGATATGGACTCCCTTCTTCCCCATTTTATGTAATTAGTGAAGTTATTACTATTGCTATTCAAGACCACTGTTTCACAATTCTGTACCTTGGATCTCTGGAAAGGCCATCAAATAGAGGAATCCCCACAGAAGTGTTCCTGACGTCGTCTCTGTTCCAGCCATGAACAGGTCAGAGAGTAAGACTCGTAGTTGCTCTTCTTCAAAACTCGAACCTTTCCTCTCTGTCTTGTGTTAGTAAAAACAAAGAATGGAAATAGGATGTTGACCACATACAGATTCATTCTGAAGTGCTTGATAACAGATGAAAGAAAGAGAGGCCCTTGCCCCTAGGATTTCATTCTGAAAAATACCACGAAAAGGGAAAAGGAAGCAGGAAGAGAAGAAGCAAGTGAGCAAAGAGGCACCGGTTCTTCCAATGCCTCAATGCCTCCCACCACTCATCAGGAGAGAAACAGTTCAGGAAGAAGATGAGGAAAAGGAGGTGCTCCCCCAGCAAGGATGGTGGAGGGCTCCTTCTCCCAGGCTCTCCCTCTCCTGCAGCCTGATGGAAAGTTCCCTGCAAGATGCAGAGCAATGTTGTGAGGGTGGAGTGAAGGTCACCCATGAAGCCAGCACGGTGGGGAGCAGAAAGAGAAAGGCTGAGAGGAGGAACTGGAAAGGAAAGGCAGCAAAAGCCACAGCTGGGTGTCAAGAGCAGTGCTCCCTGCTTCCTAGGCAATAGTTGATGCTTTACAGCTTGATCAGATCAAGCAGTGCAAAGCCAGGGTCAACACCTGGCATAATTGAAGCAGAAGGCAATTAAGGGGGAAAAAAATTAAATTTGCTGAGCATTCAGTAGTCACACTTTACTGTCCAAATGTATTCTTCTTCAGTGTCCCAATATCGTGTCCTATAGGCCACTGTGGGAAACAGGTCAGCCCACAGTCAGGGCTACGGGAAGACTCAAAGGCCAGGAAAGGACGTGGATCCACTAGAAATGCAGATGGGAGAAAGGAACCAAGTTGGATTCTGCCAGGGCATCAACAGCAGCTCTGAAGACAACTGGTTACCATCTCTGTTTCTCAAAAGAATCAGTGTTTCTCAATCTCAGCAACTTTAAGACAGGTGGACTTCAACTCCCACAATTCCCCAGCCAGCTGTCTTGCTGGGGAATTGGG